TCCGCCACCTAAAAACCAACCAACAAACAAGGTACAAGAACTGTATGCTTGGGACTAGGGAGGGGTTAGTCTTCTGGTAGTCTGGTATATGTCTGAAAATCTGGTACTAGTATAGCACCATCTAAAGGTAATGCCAAGGTAGTCAATTGGTTTCCTCGTATGACTTCAACATCTTAAAGTTTACAGTTGTTTACACTGTGAGGGTTCTTAAGTGGAACTAGTTACTGTAACCCTGAGAATCGACGAGTTTCCGGTACGGTACTAGTCAACGTTACTAGCGGGGATTTATGTTAAATATTTACTCTCTGCTCAATATTCTCTCTCTCCCTCTCTCTCACTAAACATTTCCATTGATAAAAATCCATTACTAAACTATAAATATCTCCGGAAATTTTCCTGTCGATCGTTTAACGAAAAGAACAAACGAACTTAAAGTGATATATGTCCGTACACCTATAGGTACATATATACAAATTTCAATCGCGATGTCGCCATAGGATTGTCGAACTATAACTCATGTTTATCACACACAAACAACCAGAAGAAAAACCAAAAATAAAGTGTCCCATAGCGACTAACAACCTCAAATTTCCACTGGCTGGCCTGCCTGCCAACCTATCCATGCCAAAAAAAAATCTATCTCGTCAGAAGATTCCATTTTAGCAAAATATGTACATATTTTCCAAAGTGACATTAAGTATGATCAGCATCTTTATGCGAAATTGTTGTTGGACAAACATTCCGAAAAAATGTGACAAAACTTTCAAAAAGATTATTTATACAGAGATTTGTCGCTAGAGAACATTAAAATGACGGAGGCTATTTTTTCGCATTTACTAAATTTAAAATAACGAAATGAACACCCACGTGAAAAATGACATTTGAAATTAAGTTTTCGTCGTTCGCTTGGCTCATTTCGTTTTGGGTTTCGTGCGAAAAATGAATTCTTCACTCAACGCAGAGAGGCAGACAGATATCTCTTCAAATGTTTGAAATGAAATGTTTGCTCGAATGTTTTCCCTTTGTTATGGTAACACCAACAAAAAAACCTGTCAAATATGATAATTATGATCTCGGAGATATGTGACAGATACCAAAATTTCAGATTTCAATATTAGGAGTTTAGTTTTTTGTTAATTATAATCCAATTTAAAAATTAATTTTTGCCTGGTTTTCGGAACCACTAATTTCATTAACTTATTTTTGAGATGGAAACTGTTTTAAAATCAGCCACGTTTGGGTTCAAAAGGTGTGTCACTAAACTCATAATTTAATTAATTTCTTAATCATATTCAAAATCAAAGAAAAAAGTAGGTCTTATTTTGCTGGAATTTCTTGTTCTGTCAGTCCAGTTGGTTACATGTGTCTGGCAAAAGTTGGGTCTCTTTTATTAATATAAACATGATTATGATTAATAAATAATTTAATGCCAATTAATGAAACAAATTTGATTTTGAATTTTGTGGAACAAACTGAGTTTTGAAGAAATGTTCCAAAAATACTCGGAATTTTATTTAATCAGCTGTTTTTGGTTGGCAATGACGTTTCCCACCGAAAGTTCATGCTAGGCAATAAAAAAAACAGTGTTTTTTTGTTTGACTAGACATTATGTCAGAAGATAAGTGAGTAAGGCCGTTTAGGTGGAACTACGTAATAGTGTAGAGACTTGCTCTTATATTTAAAGGCATCAAACGAGCTTCCATAAAAAACGTGTCATCTACGTTGTAAATTTTATTGAATATATGTCAAATATATGTATGAACAGTTTTTATATTTTAGTTCTTTTTGTTTTGATAAACATGTTTGAATTCTGTGTATAGTTCCCTTAAATTTTTTTTAGCATTCGGAGCAACTCGATGAATTTATTTTCACAAAATTAATAATTCCAATTCCACAAGCAACTTTATCCAACCCTATAGAAAGCTCTACCAACCATGGTATACCAATATAGGTAGACTCATCGACACAGCTGCTGGGACAATAAACTGTCAAAACAATTTTGCAATTGAAAATGTTGAATGAAAAATTATTTAAATTTGTAAAAATTTTTGAAAAATGCGAATTATAATAACCTCCGAGTGACGTCGTATAAAAAACATATAAAAATCTACTTATGTTTGAAAGAACAATAAAATTTTTTGACATATCAATGTTCCCTATGCCAAATAAATTACAAATAGTTGTATAACACATACTTTAGATGTAGTTGTAAACATGGTAAAAGAATACAGGTAGGTGTATCAATATCAAAATTGTAAAATGTTTTGAGAAAAATAAGTAAATTTTTATATATTATCGTATACGACTTCAATCGTATACGATAATTTAAAAAAAATTTAAAAATTTGAATAATTTTTCGTTAAAAATTTTCAATTCTACAATTGGTTTGACAGTTCATCGTTCCATCAGCTGTGTCGATGCGACTAAATGCATTCTTCTACCGTTGATAATTCCTTTGATTATGTATCAAATAAATCACAAATAGTCGTATAATACATACTTTAGGTGCCCAGGTAAAGCAGACTTAAAGTGCGTTTACATACAAAATATTTACAGGGCTTAAGCTTGGTATTTACAATAAATTTAACTATAGAAAATGTATATGAAATTTATTGTGATTGGTCAATTATAAAGACCCCGGGTAAAGATTTTGTATGTAAACGCACTAAGTACGAAAGAAAGACATTATTCCAAGCCAGCTGTCTACGAAAGTTAATGTCAAAATAAATTTTGTAGTCAGCTGGCTTGGAATAATGTCTTTCTTCGTACAGTTGACTTGGATTGTGATTGATATCGCAGAAGAAAAAGTAAACAAATAGTCAACAGAGTGTAAACAACTTTTGACATTTCATTTGATTTTTAAAATTTGCAGGAAAACCTTGTTCATGGTAGAAGAATACTGATAGATGCATTAACGCTTTGGAACATTGATATGTCAAAAAAATTTAAATGTCTTTTTAAATAAAAGTAGATTTTCATATGTTTTCTATACGACGTCATTGACAGGTTATTATAATATGCATTTGCAAATTTAAATAATTTTTCATTCAACATTTTCAATTCAAAAATTGGTTTGACAGTTCATGTTCCAGCAGCTGTGTCGATGCGTCTACCTATATTCTTCTACCATGACCTTGTTATTCAGCGGGTCGTGTATAGGGATACGTAGATCGACTTTTTGTGTTTAAAAGTCGAAATCAGCCTTTAAAATCATGTTTTCCAATTTAAGTTTATAACGATTTGATCGATCAACATCTTTATAGTCCTTATATTGGAACTTATATTTTATGTATTGGAACTACACCTTTTTCAGTTGCAATTCGAAACATTTTATCTAAAATTCGAGAATTCTTTTTGTAATTCGTAATATTTGAATTGTAATTTGAGAATTCCATTTGGCATTCGTAACAATTCATTTTGTTTCCGAATTTTTATTTTATTTGAAATTTAAAATTTGAAACAACGAAAAAATTGCAAACATTTTTTTTGCATAGGATTCATATTTGCTTTTTCGATTTGCAAATAAAATGTTTGGAATTATAAATGGGATTCTCCAATTTCAATTGAAATTTTACGAATTACAAATAAAATGTTACGACTTACAATAAAAATGTTTCGAATTACTATTTGAAAAAGGTGTAGTCAATAAAATGATCGACATTGGTCTGAAGAGTCTAAATCGAAAATCGATTTTAAACTGATTAGACAAAAACGAAAGATCGAAATGTTCAATCTTATGTTGAAGGTAAAAATAGCATGGCGACTTTTTTCAATGACTTCGTATTCCTTAAGGGCTAATTAGAATACGAGTGTTTAGTCATTTTATACATTAAATTATTATCGATTAATGATTAATCGATTCTCTATATGCCAGTTTATTTTGTCGATTATATTTTAAGCGTAAAATGGCTCAGCACGCGTATCCTTTTTGACTGGCTTAAGCTATCGTAAAAAATCAAAGGAGTTTCAGGTTAACTTAGTTTTTGTTCATAATTTATACTTGTCAACCCTACGCTCCTTTAATCTCTTATGAAGCCGATGACTTAATCCAGTTAAAAAAGGCGTTTTATGTATTCCCACTTTTATTGTCAGTAAAAGTGCAGAACGAAAAAATATAAAATTATAGTCCTTGAATAATGTTATCCATTCGCTAAGACCAGCTGATTTCAGCTGCAGTTATGAATTATACGTCTGAAAATGTGAACAAAAAATTTTGTCAATGTGAGGATTTTTCAATCACAAAAGTGTTTTTCGTGTTACCTACACTACCCTCGATTTCACCTAGTTTTGAACAGATGTGAATAAAATCACAATGAATTGGTGAACCAGTAGCAAACATAACATAAACAAATTTTGACATATTGTCTGATTTTGAAAACTTTCTAGAAGATATTATTATTGCGCTATGATACGATGGATAACAAATAGTGGACAGATTTGAATCTTTTTTTCTAGTTTTAAGTACCTGGTATGACATTTTATTATTGTATGTAGATGTCAAATATGACATTTGTTGACATTTCATTTGTCACATATTTAGCTTTCCTACTATGTTTCCAACCGCATTTTTTGTAGCTAATTTAATAATTAGATGGTCCTGCTTAACAAAAATAGGTAGAGAAATCCACTCGATTTTAAATGTCAATTCCATAGCGTATACGTCAAGTATACATACATCTAGTAAAAATGATTTGACGTATACGCTATAGAATTGACATTTGAGTTTGAGTGGATTTCGCAAATCTAAACATTCTTTAACACTCATAACAAATCCAGTCGATTTCAGTCAATTCCATTCCGTATACGTCAAATGAAATGCCCTGGGTTTGATTGTCATTTTCATTTGACGTCATGGAATTGACAATTGAAATCCACTTATTTTAGTGAGTGTAAACGTACTTTTTCCTTGGAATTTAAAAAATTACACTGAACTAAATCAAGTTAACTGTAAACGAACTATAAAACCCTTATCAAAAATAAAAGTAACTCATAATACTCACTGTATTCACTTTGATCATCTGGCGTTCCATTGACCGTACCATCCGGCATCAGTTGTAAGAAGCGATTTTTTATATACAATTGTATTTTACGCGATGGACCCGACAGATGGGACACCGTTGAACGTTCATTGCGATCCAAATTATTTTTAGTATGTAAATGTCTAGAATTATTCAGTCTTTTGGTTTTCATGCCACCCATATCGGATGAACGTCGCACCAGACCAGACCCGCCAGAGCCAATGCCACGACCACTGACCGCGCCGCCGCCAATGCCCATTGATGAATGTGATGTCGTGGGACCACTTGTATTTTTGGCATTCACTGAAGATGATGATGAGGAACGTATGCTACGCTCTGTTCTGGACAATATGGCCAGATGATGTGACGAAGAGAACTGAAATATGGAACGTACATCTGAGCTCTGGGCCTTTGTTTTGTTTTCTTTGGTAAGGCTGGCATTATCGTTATCGATAACGGTGCTGGGCATTAATGTCGATTGTATTTGGGCTGATGATTCGGTGGTCGTCGTTGATGGGAATGGCGGAATTGTGGTTGGTGGCTGGGTGCTGGTTGTCCATGAGTCCATGATATGAGTATTTGTTGATGACACTGCTGCTTCTTCCTCTTCTTTACTGACTTCTGGTGGACTCTGTAAATCGCTTACATTATCCACTGATGCTTCTTGCGTGGTGGTTGTGATGGTTGTTGTTCTACGATCAATATCGTTTTGACTAATACTATTTAGATTCTCGTTTGCCTCCTCCTTCTCTTCCTTCTCATTCATCATCATCATCTGCTGCTGCTGCTGCTGGTGATGATGTCGTCGTTCCGTTTGCATTTCCAGCGTTTCCATTGTGGAAACGGAAATATCCTCTTCAGCTATCCTCCCTTCTGGGGTTGTCGTTCGTTGTGTTTCTTGTAAATCACTAAATGGCCGATTTGTTGTTGTTAACAACAACTCGTAGACGTTAAATTCGTCCTTTACACTAGGCTGAACATGCATCGCGGTGTCATGTTCGTAAGGATTCAAGACATTTAAGATTTTATCGTTTTTAATCACATTTAAGGTGTCTGTTGCTGGTGCAGCCAGTGCCAAGGGTGGCAAAATTGTTGGCATGGCATACATTAAGCCCGGCCAATCGATAATAATCGAGAGGAGGGCACCCAACAGTGCCAGGGCCCTCCAGTCTAAACGCAGGTTTCTTCGCATTTGTATAGGCTAATGGTGGTGGTTGTTGGTGGTGAATGGATAATGACAACGTCGTTGAGCCGTGCCGCTGAACTGATTGCCGATTGTCGTGGTGGTTGTTGTTGAACGCTGCACGCCCAAAAAACAACAAGAAATGTTGTTGCTGCTGTTGTTAATTGTTCGTTAACAATGATCGGAGAAGTAAACAACAATGCAACACTGTAGGCCAAGCCACGCTGCTACCTGTTGCCGTTGTTGTTGCTGCTGTTGTCTTGGTTGTCGATTGCGTACCACGTAACTCCCCTTGTTAATTGTGCGAAATCGAAATTGTTAAATAATTTAATTTAAAACTTGTTTTCTTTTTTTTTTTGCTTTAATTATTTTTTTCCAATATTTTTTTGTTTTGCTTGACTTGAATTATGACTTTATTGATTTGTTGCTCTTTGACACTATTTCTTTATTATTAATTATTTTTCGTTGTATTTATTATTAACTTCTTTAATGTATTTATCGTTTCGTTTTCTTTTTTTTTTTTTGCTCACTTGACTTTTTTCTCCTGACTTAGGTTGGAACTTAGGTTACCATATTTTGGGCATATCTTTTGTACATCACCAAAGTTTCACAGTTGAGTTTGAAAAATCGTTTATGATTTTCATCTTCGTCTTCCGCGTTGATAATGCATTTTTCAAATTCAACTGTCGTTTTCATTTTACGGTACATTTGAATGACACGAGCGTGACCGATAAACGGCAACTAAGGCGGGCCGACGCTACCGCTTTTCTGTCGTTTAAATATTCACTTTATCTTCGATTGCTGTCGTTTTAGAAAGTGATGCCGATAATAAGTATTTTTTTTGCACAGAAATATTTCCTTTAAGCCGTGATGTTATTTCATAGTCCTCTTCCACCCGGTGAAGGTCGTTGTAGCTGCAATGAAAAAGAGAAGAAGATGTGATTTATTGAAAACCGGTCAAAATTAATCAAAAGTTTTATTATTCCACTTAAAAGGATTAAAAGAGATAAACTGCAAGCTGCAAGATAGCCAGAAAAAGATTGGCGGATCCTTTTTTTTTTGTAAAAAATTACATGATATGTCACCTTAATTACATGCCAAATACCATGTTAAGACTTCACTTAAAATAATGTCGCAAATTTATCGATAAATTACAGCCGGCAATGTCATGGGTTCACCATGAAACATGTTCCCATTGACAGACGAAATTTTTAATTCATTTAGTCAGTGATAAATTGTTCGACCATTTCCGCTACGCCTTTTTGAGACTGTGTTAAAATAAAATCCAGTTTTAAAACCCTTTTTCCCAAATAGTTTTCGTTAAAAAAGTAGTGGTTATTGATAATTAACTGGGCAATTAAAACGAGGTTTAGCTGAAAGATATAGTTTTGACTTAAAGGTGAGATCTGTTTTTAAATCTTTTTTTTTTGGATTTTTGGTGGTGCCTAATAGCGCCATTTATTGGTGGCGAAATATATTCAATTTAGTGTTAATAATTACCAATACACATAAATATTATTTTAACCCACGTTCGTCCCACACAACTGCCAATGCGAGGGATGCCTAATCGTTTGGCTAATTGACATTTATTATCAATAAATGATAAATTTGTCAATTATAGTACGTTTAAATGGCTCCCTGAATTGGTAAACAAATAAAGATTTAATAAATAACTACTTGGAAATTTTATGGTAAAACTTATTTATAAAGACGAGGATTTTAAAAACAAAATTTAGGCTTAGCAGACTCCGTAGACTTTCAGCAGAAATACTAGACCATTGTAGAATTATAAATGTAACCTGATTCGAGTAGGCTGCTAGAGAGGGTATACAGGATGAAATAAAAAACTGCAACAAAGTCAAACGCCATAATTTTTAAATTTTACTGAATGAAAGCAAAAAATGTCGCAAATAGCATCAAATTTTAGAATAAGTTTAGATTTGTTCCAATCGGTCAACTTTGGCACGAATTACGGCCATTAAACAGCCAATGAAACCGTCACAAGCTACCCGAATGTTGCTCTATTATATTTTGGCCCATTCTCACTTTGGTATTTTTTAATGCCAACCTTGCTTTCCAAAATACTCGAGACACAATAGTCCAACAGATTGGTATCCGGAGATTTTGGTGGCCATTGTGCGCTGGAAATGAAGCGAGGAATCTCATTTTGTAACCATTCTTGGGTGGCGTGTGCTGAGTGGGACCGTGCTGAGTCCTGTTGGAATGTCCAAGGTCAGCGGCTAAAATGTTTGCGAGCCCAAGGCTTTAATACACCCTCCAGAATATTTTCGCGATAATATTCGGCATTTATTCTAATACCACGATCGATTAATACGAGCGGATTGTGACCATCGGCTGTTATGGCGGCCCACACCATGACCATGGCCGGCGCTTGATTTCTGGTGGCCAACCGAAGGTGCACATTTTCAGCTGACCTCTTTGGCAAGTAAACACGATCATTTTGTTTGTTTACAAACTGCTGGACAACAAATGTTTTCTCATCGCAGCAGAGAAAACCAAATTCGGCAGTTTACCACTTTCGGCCAAGCGAAGCAACTCTTTTGAGTCTTTTTTCTTTCCGTTGCGGTGTAAGTTCTTGTACTTTTTGGAATTTCAATGGCTTTACCCCGAGCTCATTTTGCAATTTTTGCCGAAGAATATTGCGATATGTTCAGATCACGAGCCATTTTTGGCCACTGTGGCGCAGGTTTCGGTCAAGTCGCTTCTTAACTTTTCGAACCATTTCTTCTGATGTTGCTGTTTTCTTCCGTTCACTTCCTTGACGTCGGGCTACGCTACCAATTTCACGGTAACGAGCGATGGTACGAGCCACAAAAGATTTATTCACATTTAAATGCTGGAGTGCTCTAACGATAGGCATTTGTGGTTTTCCAGCCAAATATAAAGAAATCAAGCTATCACACTTGAATTCCATCACGAATAACTTTTTTTCTGGAAAGTTCTCACCAAAATGCTTTTGTACCGTTGTAAACAATAACATGATCTGTCACCGGAATAATTTTAACAGCTGTCGGACGAGAGGCTTGGAAATGACAGCAGTCACAAAATACTTTACACAAATCACATTTTTCATTTATTTTATTTTTTCAGAAATTCGTCAGAAAATAAAAATTACAGCCATTGTAGATCTACTATTAAATTAATGAAGACTTTCTGATATAACCATTTTTTAATTCAACATATATTTGCGACTAATTAAACAACAAACTTTTGGTGAGGACAAACATATGTTTCGTTTTTTTTTAATTAGACGCCCTTTCAAAATTACCAAAATTTCGCAACAGCTCAAATTGTTTTTCGAAACTATCAAAATTACTATTCAATTTAATTTAGACATCGACAAACAAAGGCATTTGTTTTTTTTTTTAATTATTTGCTAAAACCTTAATTGTTTAAATGAAAACACTTGCCAATTAAGAACGCCATACAAGTTTTAAGAACTGTCCCCAACGACAATCATAGATTGTTCACGATGACAGTGAAATAATAAAAAATTAAAAAAAAATCAAATATCTTGGCTTAATTGAAATGGATTCCAACGTTTGTGTTTTTTTTTCTAATTTAAATTCCCAAGAATTATATTTATAGGCACATCAATTTATTTCCGTTCTTTCAAGATTTTTTATTTACTAATTTATGTAAATTCACCCATCATCACCGTTGTCCGATGGTACATAGCCATGCGGAACACACACTCACAATTAACAGTCATGGGAACTTAATTAAGGAAATATGCAGCAACAACATAAAAAAATTGCAATCAGAAAAAAAGAGCAATTTTAATTTAAGAATAAAAAAACAACCACAATATCTAAAAATAATTGAAATTACGAGAGAAAGAAACAAACACACACACACACTTGCTACACATGCGTTTATTATGCAACGATGCGGCACAAAAGACAAAACAAGTTTGCCCCAAAAAAAAGTTAGCACGCAAACCTTTACATAAATTATTTGTTTCTATAGACGAGGGCTGTTTAAAGAGGCTTTGCAATGGGCTTAAGGCTCTATCAGACGATATGTTTTTTTACATATGTAGTGTCAAATATTCCATATGTAGAAATTGCACACTTCGTGTGATACATGGACGAAATTTCAGTTGTGAAATACATAAGTAGAAGAAGAATATAAGTAGATGCATCGACATAGCGGCTGGGACAAGGAACTGTCAAACTAATTTTAAAATTGAAATTTTTGAATGAAAAATTTTTCAAATTTGTAAAAATTTTAAAAAATATGAAAACATATACAAATCTATTTATTTTTAAAGAAACATTTAAACATTTTTGTCATATCAATGTTCTCAACTGTTGATGCATCTACCTGTGTTCTTCTACCATGATGAGTACTTTTTCGATCAAAGCGAGCCCTATTTTCATTGGAAACATATAATTTAATCAAAAGTGTTGTTTGTCTGCGAAGTGAAAATATATAAAAATAAATTTGTGACAAAAATTCATCCATAAAGTATAAACATTTTTTGGATAATACAATATTATTATATAATAAGAAAATAGAAAAAAACATATGCTAGTGTGTGTTAGCAAAAATTATGAGTCATATGTAAAATGGCAATTTTTACATACACACGGAAATACACATGGATAATAAAAGTGACAGCACATACGGGAAACACATTCCGTCTGATAATTCCTTTACAAATATCCTTCTACGGCAGTTTGATTCCATGTATGAACCATGGCAGATAAATACAGGTAGATGCATCAACGCTTGGGAGCATTGATATCTCCAAAAAATTTTAATGTTTTTTCAAAAATAAGTAGATTTTTATATGTTTTTTTATACTACGTCATTCGGAGGCTATTATAATTCGCGTTTTTCAACGATTTTTACAAATTTAAATAATTTTTCATTCAACATTTTCAATTCCAAAATTGGTTTGACAGTTCATTGTTCCAGCAGCTGTGTCGACGCGTCTACCTATATTCTTCTACCATGGTATGAACATAAAATAACTTAGCGTTCACACAACACAACATTGACATGTCAAAATTTTGAAATGTTTGTCAAAAATCAGTAGATCCTTACATGTTTTCTTATACGGCTCAAATCGGTGGTTGCTTTGATATGTATTTTTAAACAATTTTCCAAACTTGAATAATTTTTCATTCAAAATTTTTAATTTCAAACTTAGTTTGACAGTACATGCGACTACCTGTTTTCTTCTACCTTGATATGTACTTTACTTCTGTATTTCACAACTGAAATGTCGTCCATGTATCAAACGATATGTAAAACTTGTACATATGGAAAATTTGACATTGCAACTGTGAAAAACATATCGTCTATTTTGTATGTCAAATCTGATCGAATAAATCCCGATTATGACAATATGGATTAATCCGGATAAAATTTTGTATCTAAAAATGTTCTATAAAATACATTATTGTACTCACTGCATGGTAGAAGAATACAGGTAGATGCATCAACGCGTGGAAACATTGATATGTCAAAATCCTTGTCAAAAAGAGGTAGATTCTTATCTTTTTTATACGACGCAAATCGGAGGTTGCTACGATATGCATTTTCAACAATTTTTAAAATTTTCAATAATTTTTCATTCAACGTTTTCAATTTCAAACTAAGTTTGACAGTTCATTGTCTCAACCGCTGTGCAGATCCGACTACCTGAATTCTTCTGCAATGGTGTGTACTCCACTTTAGTTTTGTTCCGTCATCATTTATGAATGAATATCCACTCCATTAGTGCATGAGCTTTAAAGTAACAAAAATTACTACTGGCCGCACGTTCCTCCGATATGTGAGCACTATATCCGCAAGAGAACTAAATGTCAAAATATAGACTCAATTAAAAAATTTGTCATGTACAACAAGTGGCAGATGACAAGCGAATATCTAGTCTATTTTT